GGTAGACAATGCTTCTGTTATGACTACCCAGGCAATGGGTTCGACTTTATCTGCTGAAGAGCTACAAGCCTTAATTTACAGCAAGTTAGATTCCTACGTTTGGCTGGCAATTTCTTCTCATTTTCAACCTGACATTGTTTCTGATGATGAATACAATCAAAGAGAAGAAAACTGATTCACATTTTCCAGCACCTTCTTTTTGTGATCTGTCACACTATACACATTTTGTTTGCAGCTGGTTAATCAGGTATGTGGTATATTATATGATTCCTTTTCCTCCTCTCTTGTGGACATCACTGATAAGATATTTATGCTATTAATGTTACCAGAACACCCTACAATTCCTCTAATGTCGTCCTATATCCAGACTAGTTCTTCCTCCATAAGACCTCTGTTGCCCAGGAAGTCCATTTGGTTTTCAAACCCATTTCTTTATCTTCCATCTTCAGCCTGTACAATCCTTGTCCCATCAAACATGCTCACCCTTTCAGCCATGGGGGCATTATAATGTGACGATCAATCCCACTATTCGTTGGTAAAAGAGTAGCCCAAGAGTTGGCTGTGAGTGGTGATGACTAGCTGCCTTCCCTCTAGTCTTTCACTATTAAATTAGGGATGGCTAGCACAGATAGCCCTCATGTTGCGTTGTGCAAAATTCTAACCAAACAAACACACCTGTTCTCCCATTCCAATCCAGATCAGCTTCCTTGTCAGGTTTGCTCTCTATGGTGTTATATGACATGTACTGCCTCCTTTCATGGTTCACATTCCCAACCTTTTATTCCCTGGAACCTTTATGTTTCTCATGGTTTTTCCCCTGTCACACTAACCGGTTGGGTCTGTCAACTCCATAGGCTGCATATTCAGATATATTCATGGAAGTTTGCCATCTCCTTGACATTTCTTCTGATTAAGTTTGTCATATCACTATGTCTTTGGCTGCTAGTCTTTGCTGTCTCTTGGAATAAATTGTTCATGCTGGAATTTGGACCACTCCCTATTCCTTCATTGCTCATTATCTGCACTATCTGGCTGTATCTTCATCAGGTGGATATCATCTCTCACTCTCATGGCAGTTCTACACACGTCTGTTTGCCTTTGAATTAAGTATTTTTTTTCGCATTTCATTTGTGTTTTCTTTTCAGAACCCTCTTTTACCACTACTCCTAGAATCCAACTCTGTGGTGAGTGTTGCCTGATCAGGTGTGCTTTTACTCAAATCCGCACTATATACTGGTAGAGCTATAACACTCACTGTAGAGATGGGGTGTTCTGCAAGACCACTTGTGACATGCCTAGTGGTATATACTTCTGTGTCTCTAGGTATCCGTAAGTTTAACACAGTGGTAGACAGTCACTCATGGAACATCCTGAGTAAAGTAAAAGAGGATTTCTGCCCATCACTGCCGACATTTTGATTGCATAAACCTTGGATGGTCTTCTTTTCAAAATTGGGGAGTCATGTGTGTAGTGCTAATCACTCTGGGTAAATCTGACATTACCTGTTAATTAATGAACTATATATTTAAACAGTCTGGTACACAACTTTGAAAGAAAATAGCTGCCTTATGATCTAGCAGGAATGACGGTTCAGCATCTAAGCAAAGCACACGCACTGTAGTTGTATTGTGAAAAAAATTATTAATTTGTATTTTACATTGTGTTCAGGCTTTTTATTTCATCCTTGCAAACTCAATCAAAGTCAGAGAAGTCAGAATTACTTCTCAATAGCTATCTTATTGAATCTCCTCTTATATAGTGGGCTTATCACATCACTCTGGGGATAATCAGTTTGACCTGAATATACCACTACTCTTAATATTGTGTAACTAGTTTTTGTGATAATCTGATTCATCGGTTTAGAAAAAGCTTTCATGATCAGCTGGAAAATTTTCCATATAACCTGTGAAAGTGCGTACTTCTCCTTAGAATGTTATGGAGCCATTTTCCATCTGCAAACTTTCCTATATGGTGAATTTCCACACGACGAACTTTCTTAAAAACTCTTTTAGATGAATTGTAACTTAGACCTATGGCATCTTACTGGGTCGTTAGAGGCATATCTACCAATTCTATGCACAGTCATTCAAAAATCCCACTCATCTGTCAGAAAGGTGCAACATACCAAGTGATAAGTATTTTAAGAAATCTCTCTTTAGACATAAATGAGACACAGAATATTATCATATAAACTCTGTGATAATCTTACCACTAGACAATGATAATCTAGATCAGATCTAAGTAAAGTGCGCTCTGAAATTGTAATAAGCTTTAGATTAATAGTGTTTCTTTGTGTATGTGTGATTTTTTTATTTCTGTAATGGTACACAGTAACATCACAGTGACAAAAGCAACAACTATTTATTTCAAAACAAGAAAGACAGGAAGAAATAGTCAAAAATGAATGTAACATAACACAACCTAGAGACAACCAGGGGCCATTTGGTTCTGCAAGACTGTTATTACACGTCCACCCTTGGTAAAAGTAAAATGTTAAGTTTACTCATTATTTTTCAGGAAAAATCATTGACAGCTTCTTAAACTCTGTCAGTTGGACAACCCAAATCAAATACATTACACGACATTATTATTTTAATAACAAGTGTTAAAACTATGTTTTCATAATAAGCTCGAAGAGATAATAATAAATTTCACAACATATTTTATAATGATAGTATTATACAGGCTTGAACAAGAGCTACACCATTTATTTTCAAACTGTATTGGGATCAAGAGAAAATACTTCAATAGCGTATATGGTGAAAAATGCTAGTACTAAATTTCGTTTTGTATGGTTTTAAAAACTAAATAATTTACGAAGTTCTTCATACCTACACTTTATATTTCAGTTTTCTATAAAATGTTTTCACTGTATAAAACACTTCTCATTACAAGTCTAAAATACTATTTATAAAACTCATGTTTATTTAATTCGATCCCGACGATGTGGCGATAGAGTTTGTTTTGAATTTCGCGCAAAGCCACACAAGGGCTAGCTGTCATTAATTTATCAGTGAAAGACTAAAGGAAAGGCAGCTAGTCATCACCACCCACTGCCAACTCTTGAGCTACTCTTTTGCCAACAAATAGTGGAATTAACCGTCACATTATAACGCCCTCACAGCTGAAAGGGCGATCATGTTTGGTGAGACCGAGATTCGAACCCGCAACCCTCAGATTGAGAGCCAAGTGAGCCTAACCACCTGGCCATAACGATTGAGAGCTTTCTTAACGTTTAAAAAACTACAACACTGAGAAGACACTTCCTTCTACTTAAGTTACATGGACGCTACAGCATTAAAAGTATAAAACCATCCAATCATTAAAGAAGTTTGAACTAAGACAATCTATTTCTTAAAATTATAATATAAAATAACAAGGGACCTGTTGGTCCATCTCGGCTGTCCCATCCTCTAAACTAAACTATTATAAATTTAAAAAACAAACAAAAACTTTGGGCCAGCTCTTATCATTCATATAGTTATCAAACTTTCTCTTAAACTCACTTACATTTATTGCCTCAACAACATTCGAAGGCAACTCATTCCAGAGGCCAAACACCCTATTAAAAACATAGAACTATCTTAGCTGAAGATGACTCCTACCTTGCCAAAATGTATGTCTGTGTCCCCTAGTCCTACTATCCTTACCATTAAGTATGAAAAACATGCATCAACATTATTAATTCCTTTTACAATTTTAGACACTTTTATCAGATTCCCTCTACTTTTATTTTGTTTTTCAAGAGAAAACAGTTTCAAAGATCTCAATCACTCCTCACATGACAACCCCTCCACCCCAGGCGTCACTCTAGTAACCCTTCTCTGAACCCTCTCCAACAATTCAATGTCTTTTCTAAGGTAAGGAGCCCAAGACTGAACTCTATTCTCCAAATGTGGACTAACCAGTAACCGACACAATGAAATGATAACCTATTTAGAATTGTATTCAATATTTCTGTAGATTAAACCTAAAATCATATTTGTCTTACCACTAGCAACAGCACAATGCTTGGATGGTTTAAGAGACTGATCAACCATTACAACAAGATCCCTTTCTTGTCTGTAATTGTTAAGATTATTCCCATCCAAATTATACTTATAATTTAAATTATGATAAGCTACATGCATTATCTTGCATTTATTATAATTAAAACCCATCTGCCATTTATTTGCCCAACTCACTAAATGATGTAAATTATTTTGTAAAGCAGCAGAATCTTCTTCAGAGCTAGCAACACCCAAGACCTTAATATCATCAGCAAATTTAAGTAATTCATTGACCACTAGCTGGAGTACCCGTCCCCTGGACGGAAGTTATGTAAATTCATGACTAATAAAAGGTTATCTTAGGATATGTAAAGTTGCTTCCCTTTTATGTAACGCCCATAAAACTGCAAAATACAAAATGTAAAACCGCAAGTTTGCATGTATTTCTGCATGGACCCAACAAGCATTGATGCCAAATTTGGTGTAGATCCATCAACAGGGGGCAAAGTAGTGGTTAAAAAATGCTCATAAAAACTGCAAAATGCAAAACTGAACATTTGTATGTATCTTCCCATGGACCCAATGAACCTCCATACCAAATTTGGTGAAGATCCATCCACATCCTGCGAAGTAGTTATATTGATAGACAACACACAGTACTATTATATTTATATAGATTCCTTCATCTATGCCATTGACATAAATCAAAAAGAGCAAAGGTCCTAAGACAGGGTCCTGAGATTTTTGTAGCTGAATTTCTTCAAGAATCAGCAGAGTACAGTTATTTCTGTTATTTTAAATTTTTGCTTTTAAATAACGTTATTTAAATAATATTCTGTCATCGTTTCTGATTTTAAGTCTTAGAAACATCGTTGATTTTGAATAGGTTTGTGAGTTTAACGCCTTAGAGTATTTTTGTTTTGTTTTGTTATGTTAAGTAGAAAAAAGTACTGCTACTGAGAAATTAAAGCGGCCTCTGTAGAGTACATATCACAAACGCAACTAGAAGCAGATGATCGAAGCCGGCGACAGTGTGAAGCGGTGGGTTACGAGGGGTAACGTGTATTAATTACACTAAATGCTATTAGCATTACTAAGTAAACATTGGTGGAAGACGTGAAACTAATAATATAATATTATTATCATTACCCCAAAATGTGTGAAGTTGCAGATACCTCGAAACCAAGAAGAATCGCCATTATTGGTTCTGGAAACTGGTAATTTTTTTATGTGGCATGTGAAGTCAGGAAAAAGACGTTTTACTTGTAATTATACTAATAGCAATACCACATGTGAGGTTAACTCTGATAGTAATAGTAATGATATTGTTATTTTTGTGTAAATTACCCATTAGCTTAGTTAGTTTTAGCGATAGTTTTAATCTGACAAGTCACAGTACTTAATAATTGCTTGAAATTAAAGAGGAAAAAATATTAGCTCTCTTTTGAAATTAAAACAATTACCAATTGAATTAATTAAAATTTATATGATTCAGTTAGTAATTGTGTTATTTTTGTAAATTAAGTACATTCAAGCATTAGTTATATTAACAAATTGAAACTGTTTTTATATTACTAAGTTACTATTGTTAATGTTAGTACTAGTAGTATGATTTATCACTGTGTTACTATTAGTATTAGTTATTACTACTGTAACTTAAGTTGATATAGTAATGTTAATTCCTTGGTATTTGGGAAGACCCAAACAAATAGTCATTTTAAAGAACCTCTAAATCTAATGAAATGACATTCTCAAAAATCATTTATTTATAATCATTTCAATTTTTAGTTAATTGAAGCATCAAAATTGTTAATATTGTCTAAGTTAAAAGAAGTTGTCTTACCATCTAAATAGTTAGTAATATTTAACTTTGTTGCAAGTTTGTAATATAAGAAACTTTCAAGAAGGTCATTCTTTTTTGCATGTGACAAACTGATGATCTGAGATGGCTGTTAATAAACTTTAGTAAGGGTATTTTCTAAAATATTATATATAAATATATATAAAAGAAAGTTAAAAGTAATATAACTATGGTTGTGAAAAAAATGCCAAGTGTGCTTAATCAACTATTATGAAATAAAACAGCATTGGAAAAGAAATATTTGGAAGTCTGTAATCAAGTATCTTATTTTGTTTTATGAAAAAGAAAGCCTGTGTAAAGACAGCATAAATATGAACACTTGAATTGTGTGTGTGTCATTAAAAATGAAATCAGGGATATACATTTAATTGATCTTTATCTTATAAATCTACACACCCAACTTTATTTTGGCATCATACACATTAATTTCAAAACTTGTTTAAAACTAAAGCTCTTTTTCATTTTCTCTAGGTGGTAACTCTGAATAATTAACATTTCATTCAGGAGTTTCATTCTCAAGCTGATGATATGGAACCAGTTGATGTTTGCTATGTGCATGTATCAGTTCTGCAACTTATTTTCATGTTCACTACCTGTTGTCATTTTCTTTAACTGTATACATAGTGATAATGTTTTGAACTTCATTTGCTTTCCAATGTCAACTTAATTTTATGATTACTGTTTTTTACCATTCTAATAAGATACTCATCACATTTATTTTGTATCAGCTAAAGCTTAATCATACTTATGTTTATTTATATTATTTCCAACTGTATACATGTACTCTTTTTCACTTCTTCTGGGTGTTGTCTTAGAACATACTCATCCTTTTTTTGATGCTTATATAAAGAATAAGTAGAGAATGTAGGATAATGAATGTTATAATATTATGATAAGTTTCTCCTCTTTTACTTTTGTTTTTCAAATTCTTCTTTTAGTTTTAGAGAATAAAGAAGCTTAAATTATATGACAGGAACAGAAATAATTAAGATAGCTGAGAACTTAAACTGATTATATATGTTTGATTTTAATGTTTTGGATTGAGTCATAAGAATAGCATTATCCTATAATTTTATGAGAATATTATCTTATCTGTTATATATGTTATTACACACACTAGAAACAATATTGATAAACCAAAGTATTCTTTGCATAAACTAAAAACATAAAAGTGCAGGAGAAAGGAAAAGTAGCTTCTGATGGAGTAAGAAATTGTAACGTATTGGGAGGACTCCAATAAATTATCAAAAAATACATTTTCAAAAGCATTAGTAACTTGTATTCTTAATGTTTTCCAATGTGCCAAATGGAGTTTTACTAGGTATAATTGTTACAGTTAATATATTCACCACCTCTGTTTTTAGAATATAAATATTTTTTATTACTCAACATTTAGCCTTACTGAGAGTTATTTATCCTACTAGTAATGTTTCTGTATTAACTACAGAAAGTAGGCATGATGATTAGTGTATCTAAATATATTTGAGGTATTGTAAGAATATAGACCAATTGTGCTTTAATGCATTTGGAACATTTTTCAGCACAAAGCTCTTGCTCTACTTTTGTTTGATTCTATTAATATATAGCAGTATTAGATTATTCCAGTTTCAAATGGAAAATGGTGTTATCAGTTTCTCTTGAGAAATGAAGTGTAAGAGGTGATCCAGGTATTTCATCCTCTTTGTGTTTTTCCATACAGGTTGAAAATGTGCTGCATGCATGAACTACCAGTTCATTAAAGTATAATATTTAAGTGGTTACTCCATCTTTGGCTTTTAAAAATTTAATAAGAACATGTGGAGATGTTCAGTTCTGCATGAGTAAGTAGTCATTGCAGGCCTTTTAAGGGAATGTTGTGCATAGTGGCTTGAGACAGTGGTTTACACTGCCAATATTCTGCTGATACTGTTGTTTATATTGTACTTGCCATTGCTGTCCCTAAGGGTAATGTGGCCATCTGTGGTATACAGTGGCAATACAATGGGGATGTATGATGTTTATGTAATCTACATAATGACTATCTGTATCATTGGAATGGATTAAACAAAATGCCACTACAACCAAGGTCAAACAAAAACAATTTATTAAATGTAACAACAGAAATCTAAACTAAAAACTTTCAACAACTAGGATACAGATTTTTATCACTTACAAAAAAAATTAGTAAACCCATGCCTGGCTAAAACTAGGTACAAATGTTAATAAACAATACAAAATCAATTTCAATTTGATTAACTTCAATGAATATCAAAAGAACCAGAAGAATAAGAACCTATTTCACCAGAGAAAAAGATGGTGTATAAAAATTAAACCATTTCACAGTATCAAGAACAATAGAGTAATAATTCAAACTATATATCATGCACTAACTCATTTTAAGATCAAGGAAAGCTTTTTATTTAATGCTTAGAGCTCAAAGTTACATCTCACATGACCTTCTATTACAAGAAATCTACATAATCTTTCACAACATTAATATCTGTACATCACTGCTATGAGAAATTTGTGTCAGTTTTGTAATACAAACTTACTCAATATCAATATGCTTTACATAAAAGGTGAGTTAGCACTTTAATATAACTAAAAATTCATAGTTGAACTAAACAGTAGAAGGAATAATAAATGAATGATAAACAAAACCATAATAAAATATAACTATAATTTGCTATCTCACATCTTGACTGTTAATACTACTACAGCTCCAATTTCAAATACTGAGAAAAACGTACTAAGTGTAGAAGCTAATAGAATGAACCAGTGGGCAAGATGAAGTAATACCTGTTATATGTTAAGTAAGTACAAATAATATTATACCTGTGTATATTGTGATATAATCCATTGATGTAAATGCCATTTGATTATCAATTTCATTGCAAAATTTATACCAGATTTCACTGGATGGTGCAATATCCAATCAAGTCATACATTTAAGGACAACATGGTGCCTGTTGGTCCATCTATTAAACTATAAGAAAAAAACAACAAAAAAACTGAAGGTCAACTCTTATTATTTATATATATTTATCAAACCTAAAGGCAACTCATTCCAAAGCTCAACTACCCTGTTATAAAAATAAAACTATCTTAACTGAGGTTGACTCCTACCTTCCCAACATTTATATTTGTATTCCTCTGTCCTAACATTCATACCATTAAGTACAAAAAAAAAGTGATGCATTGACATTGTCAATTTCCTTAAAATCATAAACATCTCAGTAACTTCTCTTCTACCTCTGTTTTTCAAGAAAAACAATTTCAGAGATTGTAATCTGCTTTATATAATAATGTTTCCATTCTAGGTGCCCTTCTTTGAACCCTTTTAACAGTTCAATGTCCTCTTAAGGTAAGGAGCTCATGACTGAACACAATACTCCAAATGATGCCTAACCACAAGTAACCAGTGACCTATACTATGAAATTATGTCCTCTTTAGACCTGTATTAAATATTTTTGTAAATACAATCTAAAATTCTGGTTGTACTATCACTGCTTGGATGTGTGGTACTTTCTATCTCAAGAATGACCTAAGAGCAGATAGTTAGGCCCACTGATGAGATGTTCTCAGATATTGAGTATTAGAATTTGTTTCCTCTTCAAGTAACAATTGTTGTAGCAATTGCTTGAGGAAAAAGACAAGACTCCAAAACTAATAAATTATATTTAATCACATGAGCATAAGTTACAATACACCATAAACAATACAGTTTAATAATACACAAGGGCAAGTGATTGTGTGGGACTAATAAAAGCAACACTGAAGACTACACTGTATATTATATCCCGAATAAAACACTAAATGAAAAGTAACCTCTCAAATTAAATAAAAATCACTATTAAGTATTCAATAAAACTGTTTAATCCAAATTCATACTTGTATTTCACTAGACAAACTTAATTTTTAATTCCTTTACTAGTTAGCCCATGCTCCCTTAGCCAACCATTTTTAATTCCCTTTTTGACTGCCTAGTGATCTTTTTTATTCAACTACCTTGATCTTCTATAAACCTCTTAAGTTTCTCATCATAGCAGTCAATTTACACTTCTTAAATTCATAAACTGCACTCAATTCTCTGCAAAACAAAAAGCTATTACTTTGCACATCTGCTGAGAAGATGTTTTTGAGCATGTTACAAGCCTTGAAAAATCTCACACCCCTGCATGTATTAACATGGATTGTTCCAGCCTATAATGTAATCATCATTAAACTGTAGTCATCTAACAATAGATGGGCAACACATTCTCCATGCACAGTAAACCCCATGAGCACTAGCATTTACAGCAAAAGCTTGTTCTTATCCTTGGCACTGCTTTTCTTAGACATGTTTTCTCTTAAGAATTAATGGATATTTTGCACTT